CCGGGGTCGGATTCCGTGCGTCTGGTAGCGAGCGTAGCGAGGCCACTCCCCTGCAAGCGAGCATTTGCCCTGGAGCAAATTTAGCCCAGCTGCGTTCACACGTGCACATTTGTTCCGGCGTAGCGTCGCAAACGAACATTTGCTCTGGAGCAAATTTTTAAACCACCTCGCTGAGGTGGATCAAATTTGGTTCGGTATAAGCTCTTTAGTGGAGCTACGACTGGATCTGTTTCGGCGCAGCGTCGGACCAAACGTTGCCGTGTGAACGGGGCTCAAGAGAACGAATTAACTTTTAATTGGTTTCACCATCGTGTTTGCAATTTATTTTGGAATCTGATCATGAAGTTATCACTATTAAATTAACATTGTTTATAAAAATAATGAATTATGTGGTTTCTGGAAACTGTCAATAATGACCTGTTGAATGATGAAGTATTTTGTAATATGGTCAACAAACCTGCCGTGCAGATACAGTACTCCAGAATATTGAAATGAATCCAATGCAAAGATGGCAATACTTGAAATTCAAAGTTAGAGAAATAGTAATGGGACGAAATAAAGAAATTAAAAAAGCTATTTTAACGAAAGAAATCAATGCAATGAATACACAAAATTTTTTTCATTGGAAAAAAGATGAGAACGTTTAAAGAGGAAATTATATTAACATGTCTGTAAAGAAGCTTTTATAAGGCCAAGAGCAAAATGAATGGAATTAGATGAGAAAAACTCGTTATTTTCTGCTCTGGAGAAACGTAATCGAAAAAGAAGTAATTCTTGTCAGGTTCATTGCTCAAATAACAATTATGCAATTACACTAAAGATGAGAGAAGACGTCTGTATGTTGTTTTCGCTTGCAAGGCGAATAGAAGAGGACTGCGCACATACAATTCCCACCGCTATTCAAAGCAGGCTCTCCTAAACCCTCTCTTTTTATTCATATTGGTATCAGGTATGTCATGAAAGTACACACACGATCCAGCAATATCAGAGATAGACATTTCAGCACAGTCAGTCTAGCAGAATAAGCACTTTTCTCTTGGGTCTTCGAAGCTTCGGTGACCAGCTGGGAGCCAGGTGACATTTCTCTGCCAATTCTGCAAACATTTCTTCACACCAAACCAAGCAAACGCTCCACAGGAATCATTAAATGTAAAATAAAGCATAATAATAAATATTTTACCAACAATTATTCCTTCAATGTTTCAGCCCTTAAAAATGAATGATAACATAACCACCAATTATTTAGGTATTTCCAAATATGTTGGAGATGTTTACACTCAGTTGAAAAATCTAATTGTAGCATCAGTGATTTAATGTGGTGGACCAGGTGGGTGTCCAGGTGGACCTGGCGGATGTCCAGGTGGACCAGGTGGTTTCCCAGGCGGGCCAGGTGGGTGTCCGGGTGGACCAGGTGGGTGTCCGGGTGGACCCGATGGTTTCCCTGGTGGACCTGGTGGGTGTCCGGGTGGACCTGGTGGGTGCCCGGGTGGACCAGGTGGGTGTCCGGGTGGACCTGGCGGTTTCCCAGGTGGACCAGGTGGGTGTCCAGGTGGACCTGGAGGTTTCCCAGGTGGACCAGGTGGGTGTCCGGGTGGACCTGGCGGTTTCCCAGGTGGACCAGGTGGGTGTCCGGGTGGACCTGGCGGTTTCCCAGGTGGACCGGGTGGGTGTCCGGGTGGACCTGGTGGGTGTCCGGGTGGACCAGGTGGTTTCCCAGGTGGACCTGGTGGGTGTCCGGGTGGACCTGGTGGGTGTCCGGGTGGACCTGGTGGGTGTCCGGGTGGACCTGGTGGGTGTCCGGGTGGACCTGGTGGGTGTCCGGGTGGACCTGGTGGGTGTCCGGGTGGACCAGGTGGGTATCCAGGTGGACCAGGTGGGTGTCCAGGTGGACCAGGTGGTTTCCCAGG